CCTGCCTACCCCAGTTCGATTCCTCCGCCCCTCTGGGAGAGCCCAGCAAGCTACAGAGAGTATCTTGCCCGCACAGCAAAGCCTGGCAAACTCCCCGTGACGTATTCGATATGTCAAACACAGTAACAACAAGTCTCACGATGGACACGTTACTGGGCCCGCTCAAACAAATTGATGAACAACGGGAGGACCATGACCGTGACCATGATGATCATTGGCACTTTGAAATATCCACCGGACTCACTTGTAAACAGCCTTGTTTTGCTGCAAGAAATTCAGACTTGACTCATTTTTCCTTTTCTTTTCTTTTCTTTTTAATGTAGGAGTAGAGCTATTTATTCAGCACTAATTAAGCAAATCAACAACAAAACAAAAGTTCTGAGAGAAACTGACCCTGCTATATGTAAAGGCAGGAACAAGATAACATTTGAGCGAGGGAAGAATTGGTCAAGGCAACTAAGGTAAACTCTAAGTTTTAAATTTCAAACTTCTTGGGGTTTTTTAATGCTTCGGCAGCTGTATAATGCCTGGTAAGTACAACCCCTGTGGCAAAAGAGATCAGGAATCAAATTCAACACCAGTTATTTATTTCCTATTTCATTATATCACTTCACTCAAATCTGTTACCTTCTTTGATCCTCTGGTTCCCATGGATTAAAAACAAAGACAAAAGAAACCTAATGTAGGATGTTAATGATGGTATAAATTATGCACTTATCTGCATTTGCATTTTGTTTTATCAATATTGTGCCTATCTTCATAAACATATCAATATCTGTACCTGTACTTATCTCTATGTCTATCTACATCCAGCTTGTGTTTGAAAGGTCTTTTATGTAGTTAATTACCTTCACCCTTCTACACTTCACATAACTTCTCCCACTATCAATATAGTGTACTACAAATGATAAAACTATGTTGACATGTCATTATTGGAAGTTCATACTTAGAATTCACTCTTAGGTTTACACATTGTATCCATCTGAATCAATGTATAACGATACAGATTCATCATTATAGTATGATGCAGAATGAATTCACTACCCTAAATACCTTTGGGTTGGACTTATTCACCTCTTCCTCCTCTCAGTTCCTGATAACCAGATCTTTTTATTTTCTGCATACTTTTGCCTTTTCCAGAATGTCACGTAGGTTTATATTTCCTACTATGTTCTTTTCTTAGATCTGGTCCCATTAAAAATTCCTTTATGTATTTCATGCCTTGTGAACCCATTTGTTTTTATCAATGAATAAAAACATGTTGCTGGGTTCAGCCTCATGTAAGGCAAGTGCCCTACTTGCTGTTCTGGCCCCATGTGCAAGTTTTCATACGTTCTTAAGTGTTCAGTAGTTTTGGGTAAATATCAAAGGAAAGAATTGCTCATGGGAAGACTCAGTTTAGTTTTGTATGAATCAGACTGTCTTTCAAGTGGCTATCTGTTCTGCATACCCACCAGCGATGAATGAGAATTCTTGTTGTTTCACATCCTCAGCAGCATTTGATGCCAGTGTTTTGGATTTGCTCCCAACCAAGATCAAAACTGCCAGCTCTGTGAGTTATCTACTTTGCATGCAGGTTATCTCTCTTCTTTAACATCCAGTTTCAAGTAATTTTCAGTAACTTTTGACTACAAAACCATTTACGTCCCAGATCATTATCTAAGCTGCCTCCAAATTCTTGCCCATAGATGCTATGAAACACCAAAATGTTTATACTTTTTTTGTGTTTTTGTTTGGAGTGTGTGTGTGTGTGTGTGTGTGTGTGTGTGTGTGTGTGTGTGTGTTGGGACACACCTAGTGATTCTCAGGAGATAATTTTTGGCCCTATACTCAGTTACTCCTGGTGGTACTTGGGGAATCATGTTCAGGGAACTGCATGGGATGCTGGGGATTGAACCCAGGTCAATGTATAAGGCAAATGCTCTAATCAATATATTATTGCTTTGGCCCCACTTCACACTTGTTTTGAGCTACAAAAGTGGAACTGACTTGTTATGAAACAATGGATAACATGTATTTTCTAACAAAATATCTCTACTTTCCCAGTGCTTCTCTGTGTAAAAAAAAAGTAAAATTCAACCTACACCACAGCTGAAAAAACTCAATTATTAATTTGTGGTAAAATCAATCTATTATAAAAGACGACTTTTTATTTATTGTTCGCCTTTGGAACTCATGCACCCACACTGTTCTTATTATATAATAAGTGTGAAGTGGGGCCAAAACAATAATAAATGTTGCTGAACATGATTGAGTGAATTTTCTCCCTCAAGTTCTAATTTTTCAGAGGGCAAGAACTGTGACTTATATATTGTTCTATCTCCTTCACATGGTTCACACACACACACACACACACACACACACACACACACACACTCCAAACTCTTAACACTGAACATATACCATTCACTGTTTTATTGAATTAAATTAAGTTTAACCAAAATTATTATTGAAGTAATAGGTCTTAAACCAGATACAAAAAAATTCATGGCAGCAAACTTACTTTAAACATTTATACTATACATTTACGCGTGCTGGTTTTTAAATTTCATCCACTTATCATCAAAATAAACAAAAGCAGAAAGAAATCCTAAACCTAAAATGTACAGTCTGTTTTTTGCTAGGCGATCATCCAAATTTTCATAATTTCTACCAACAAAATACATCTTCAAATGTTTCTGCAGACTATGAAGTAATAAACAGTAATAGAGTAAAAAAATTGGGGGAGGGGTCACACCTGGTGATGCTCAGGGATTCCTCAAGGCAGGGCTAAGGAAACTAAATGAGATGTCTGTGTGCAAGGGAGACACATGTGCTATCTTTCTGGTCCTTCAATTGATATTTTTATTATGATTAGCTTATGAAGTAATATATGCTAACTATGGAAGATTATGTGCAGAAACCTACTAACCTACTAACCTATATTCCTTCTTATCCCACTGAGCCTTAAGCACTCATTTCAGCAGAGTTAAATCTGCTTTGAACACAGACTCTTCAAAAATAAAGTTTATTCACCTAAAACGTAAAACAAGAAACTTCTTCTTTAGAGTGACTGTGTATCCAGGGACTGGTCCAGTGGTGCAGAACACAGGCTAGATCTCCTGCAAATCCTCTCCTGACCACACACACACACACACACCAATTGTTACCACCTTTGGCACACGATTTGACCTCGGTCTTAACTGCCTTATTTGTAATAGCAGAAAATGATAGTACCGATTTCACAAGGTTGTGAAGAAGGGTTAATCCATGAGAAGCCCCTGGCACATAGAAACAGTAATAACAATTTGTTCTGCCTTCAATGTCAGCCACAGACCTGGATTCTTGTTGGTGCCTTCTAAATCTTATTGAATGAACTCTCAGAGAAGAATACTGGACCAACATCTCTGCCATCCTTTTTATTGTTTACTGAACTTTGGGAATTATAACACATGTAGGGTAAAAGGAATCTTTCTTTTATTTTTTTGTTTAAAACCCTCTATAAATGTGAAAGCAGCAGAAAGGAGTTAAGTATTGATAAGAGTCAGAGCTTAGGAACCAGCAGTACATGTTGGCTCTGGGGAAAGCTACATTCTTTCAAACTCCCAATGTCCTCCCTTCAAGGCTTCTTTTATTTATTGTTGTCAATCCCCAGGGAAGAGATGTGGGAACTAATTACATTTAACTTTTTTTATTGTATATCCTCCAACATCTAACTATATTTCTGGTTAAGAGTAGAATTTTTTTTTTAAAGTGGGGGAGGGTTGGGGCACTTGCTTTGCACGCAGAGACCTGGTTTATGGGAAGCCTACATGGTCCCTTGACCCTGCCTGGAGTGATCCCTGGGCACAGAATAAGGAGCTACCCCTGAGCACTGCAGGGTATGCCAACCCCACCCCCAAAAGTTATTTCAAGGGGATGATGTGTAAGGGACAACTATTTTTTTTAATAGTATTTTGGGCTGGAGCCATAGCACAGCAGGTTAGGCATTTGCCTTGTACGCAGTCGACCCGGGTTCGATTCCTCCATCCCTCTCCGCCCCTCTCGGAAAGCCCGGCAAGCTACTGAGAGTATCTCGTTCGCATGGCAAAGCCTGGCAAGCTACATATTCAATATACCAAAAACAGTAACAACAAGTCTCACAATTTGTTGTGAGACGTTACTGGTGCCCACTTGAGCAAATTGATAAACAACATGAGGACAGTGCTACAGTGCTGTGAATGAATCACCATGAGATATAGTTACAGACTTACAAACTTTCCTGATTACATTTCAATCACGCAATGATTGAGTACCTATCCCATCACCAGTGCCCAATCTTCACCACCAATATTCCCAGAAGCCCTCCTGCCACCCCCACCCCACCTCCCAACCTCCATCCTCCTCTGTGGCAGGCACACACACTCTCTCTCTCCTTTTGGGTGTTATGGTTTACAATACAAGTAGTAAGTGGCCATCATGTTTGGTCTATAGTCTACTTTCAGCAGCATCTCCCATCCGGACTGAGCCCTCCAAGCATCATTCACTTAGTGGTCCCTTCTCTATCTCAGCTCCCTTTTCCCCCAGCATGTGAGAAGGGACAACCTTTGTGACCAAATATTCTGCCCTTTGCTCTCAATTCTTCTATCTGTACTTTATATTCCTTTTACTTGGACTAAGTCTCCTTAAAACAGAAAGTGATCCTCTGCGGAAGAAGTAGTTCTGAAGGCTTGTCTTGCGGAGTCCGCCCAGTTCCAGAGGACACTGCTGAAGGTCCTGGGAGTGATCTCTGAGCACAGAACATCCTGAGCACTTTAGGTGTGGCCCAGAACACCACCTCACCTCCCCAAAGAGAAAAAACTTGAAACGAGGGGGCAGTAAACCAGCGTGAAACCTCCGGCGGGGACCACTCCCCCATTCCTTGTCCATGGGGAGGACAGAGATAAGGCCTGGGAGAAGCATTGGCTGCGTTCCACTTTGCGTGCCCGCCGCCCGGGAGCCGCCTGAGCCGTGCACCGGGAAACTAACGGCCGGTCCACGCAATGGAGCGGCTACCGCTTCCCCGAGTCTCCGGGACTGGCCCTGGGTACGCCCGCCCCGACCTGCAGAGAACTTGCCCGGGGAACCATCAGGGCCCTGGTCCAGGCGGGCTCCGGTCCTCCGTTGCACTTTCTGCTCACGGCTTCCTCGAAGGCAGCAAGACCGAGGGCCAACCAGGGGAGGCCCGCTCATCACTGGAAGACCTTAGGCGGCGGTTGGCGCCCGCCTTCCAGCGGACCCGGCGGCGCGGGGCCTCGGGATGCTCCTGGGAGGCGGCGGCCTGGGCGTCGCTGCTGGAGATGCAGCGACGCGCGCGCGTGGAGAGCGCCCTGGCCTGGCTGCGCTGCGAGCTGGTGAGCATCCGGCACTGCGGGGACCCCCATTGGGGTTCCAGGCATGCACCCACGTGGTCTCAAGCAGCGACAGGGACCAGGGCACGGGTAGTGGGTGTTTCCCGGACTCAACTCTTGTCCTGTTGTCCTGCGGTTGTCGGTGCTGTGGTCCTCACTCCAACCAGAGGCGTCAGGGAGGGAAGGGGTCCTGCGGGAAGCGGGATGCTGGCATCTACCTGTTGCGTCTTCTAGCGTCGTGAGAATACCTCAATAATCTTTCTCCAGCTTTCCAACGCAGAAGTTTGGGTTCTTATATCTGGCAAAGCTGGAATTTGCTCATAAAGAACCTTTTGCTCTGGGGCAGGACGTAACATTATCCTGTCTGCTCCTTTTTACACTGTGAGTTTTGCTGGCTTAATCGGTAGAACCTAGAAGCACGGATTTTTAAGTGCTTTAAATCAATAAAAAAAAAAGTGAGACCATTATGTGGAAAGTTCTCCAAAGGGAAATTATATACATATAAATATATATATATCTTGGAGGAAGACATGTTAATGAAATTTCTCATAGGATTGATAGGTGGGTCACCCAGGGGCAACTTTATCTTTAATTCTGCAAATTTTACTCTAAACTTTGGTAAGAATTCAGCCAGGGTGTAGTAAAATGTTTCTTAAAATTGTAGATTTTTAATGTCAGAGTAACATTCCAAATGTTAAGCAGGAGGGACTAGAGTCAATATTTTAGATGACATTTTTCTACTATAGACAAAATTCAGAAGAAACCAGATTAAAAGAAATCAGAGTAAGCCAAAACCACTAATTTAGGACTAATTTAACCATCAGTAAATTGTTTGAGTTTAAGAATCTTAACAGAAAGAAGACATCCAATCCCATTAGAAAATGGGGCAATGAACTGAACAGAAACTTTCTCAAAGAAGAAATCTGAATGGCCAAAAGGCACATGAAAAAATGCTCTTCATCACTAATCATCAGGGAGATGCAGATTAAAACAACAATGAGATATCATCTCACACCACAATGACTGGGACACATCCAAAAAAACAAAGGCAACCGGTGTTGGTATTGATGTGGGGAGAAAGTGACTCTCCTTCACTGCTGGTGGGATTACCAACTTTTGGAAAACAATATGGACGTTTCTCAAAAAATTAGAAATTGAGCTCTCATTTGACCCAGCAATACCATTTCTGGGAATATATCCCAGAGATGCAAAAAAGTAGAATTGCTAACTGCACTTGTGTGTTTATTGCAGCATTATTTACAATAGCCAGAATCTGGAAAAAAAACCTGAGTGCCCAAGAACAGATAACTGGTTAATGAAACTCTGGTACATCTACACAATGGAATACTATGCAGTTGTTAGAAAAGATGAAGTCATGAAATTTGCATATAAATGGATCAACATGGAGAATATCATGTTAAGTGAAATGAGTCAGAAAGAGAGGGACAAACATAGAATGACTGCACTCATTTGCAGAATATAAAGCAAAATAATGAGGGTCTAACACCCAAGGATAGTAGAGATAAGGGCCAGGAGGATTTCTCCACAGCTTGGAAGCAGGCCTCACATGCTGGGGGAAAAGGCAGTTGAGATAGAGAAGGGACCACCAAGCAAAGGACGCTTGGAGGGCTCACTCGGGATGGGAAATGCATGCTGAAAGTACACTATGGACCAAACATAATGGTCACTTACTACCTGTATTGCAAACCATAACACCCAAAAGGAGAGAGAGAGTAAAAGGGTATGTGCCTACAACAAAGGCGGAGGGGGGATGGGGTGAGGGTGGTGGGAGGGATACTGAGAACATCGGTGGTGGAGAATGAGCACTGGTGGAGGGATGGATACTCAACCATTGTATGACTGAAACGTAATCATGAAAGTCTGTAAACAAACAAATAATAGCATCAAAAAGAATTTTAGCAGAACTTTTATCCTGCTTCTGAATTTAAGATGGGTTAAAGGTAGTAAATCTATTCATAAGAATAATTTGAATTTGACAGGGATGAATTATCTGACTCAACCATATTGTAGAAACACCTGACTTTCTTCTATACCTGCACTATATGCATGGGGCTGCTTGGGGTGGGGAGACACCTCGTTAGTAGAGAAACAGATCTGGAGTAATGCGAGATGGGTCAGCAGGATATTCTGAAAGGCTCACAGATCAGTTTTCTCTGTGCCAGTGACTTGGGGGTGTTACTACCTTCCCTGCACCTTAATTGACATATACTGAAGTCAAGTGAAAAGACTGTATTGAACAAATACTCTGAGTACATCTTTGCAACCTGAACATCTGCTTACTGGTTCACCAGGAGTTGTCTCAGGCAAGTAAAGTAGCAGAAAAGGTGGGGGGGGATAAATTCCAAATACAATAGGGTACACATTTTAACAATAATATAGTTATAAGCTTTGCTAACTATTGGCCCCGTGACTTTCAGAATTGTTATTAGAAGGTCTGAGTTACTCATTTGTAAAATGGAGAAAATAGTTACATTGAATGACTGATAGGATTATGCAAGATTATTTTGTATAGAGTTCCTAGAACATAGGCACATCTCAGTGATAATAACCTTGGAGTCAATTGCACTACAAAAAAAAAAAATAAAGGAACAAGCATAGGTATCAATGGCTAAGAAACTTTTTCAGAATGAAACCAGAGACACAACTATGTAGATGCTGTATTTCTGTGATAATCACAGCATATTTGCCAACCATTTAACCAATGCGTGATGTGTGATTGCTCATAAAAAAGAGGCAGAAGAAGGTAGATGCTTGATATATCACCATATCTAGAAGAAGTCTGATAATGGGCTTTTAACCAGATTTCTGTAGGAATAATCATTCCTATGTGCATACACATAGGAGCACACATCATGCACTAGGGTGGGATAGCACAGCCCTACCGCTGTGCTATCGCTCCAGCCCATTGGTTTAAGGAATGTTATGAATGAATCAATTAATTTAGAGGTATGTTGCTACTTTTCACATATTATTTATGTTGTTTCTTGAACTGGTCTTCTTCATGGCACTCATTGATTTTTTAGGATTTGTGAATAACATTTTGTGTGTTCATAAGGTGCATTTTCTTTTCATCGGAAAGAGTTCACAGCTGTCATCAGATTAAAAAAAAAATGAGATGAGGGGCTGGAGTTATAGTACAGCGGGTAGGGCGTTTGCCTTGCACGTGGCTGACCTGGGTTCGATTCCCAGCATCCCATATGGTCCCCCAGCACCACCAGGAGTAATTCCTGAGTGCAGAGCCAGGAATAACCCCCGTACATTGCCAGGTGTGACCCAAAAAGAAAAAAAAATAAGAGAAAATACTGGTCTTTGACTAAGTTGATGTGTATAAACACATCCATCTGCAGTGAAAACCATCTTTTAAATTTTACTTCTTGACCCCAGGCATGGAAGCACAGAATTAATAGTGATCATTAGTTCATCAATCCAGCCACCTGACCCAACTGTCCAATCCAGCCTCCCTTTAAAAAACAGAGAGAATCCACTACGTCGTGTGTCTAGGAAGTGCACTGGTAATTGGGAATACAACTATGAATACAAAAAAACCCTCTGTCCTTAGTTATCAGCTCAGTGCAGTATGTTCTGTGAGATGAATGTATCAGAGTGTGCAGAAGCCAAGGGGCAACTGGGAAACCTAAAAAGGGTTTTCGTTTGACTTGAGTTCAGCAGTATGAGAGTTGGCCAAGGCTTCCTAAACAGGTTAGCTGTAATACAGCAAGTGGGTCAATTCAGAATCAGTCGAGGTTTCTGATCAGCTTTAGCAGGGACTGGCATGAGGGAAGTGAAGCAGGAAAAATAGGGCAGAATTATAGAGTATCTGGTGAACTAACACTTCCATTAGGAAAGGTGCATGTTTTCATGTCCTGACAGTTGTTTCTTGGATGTTCATTTACTTTATGCTTTACATTTACTTTATGTTTCATTTTGGATACTGGGAAGTGACCATCAATATTTACTTTTTACCAACTACACACTCTTGCTTATCCTGGGTTGTTCCTGTTGGTGAGATGATGAAAGATTGTATGAAGAGAGGACAGAATCCCTACAAATGGCATTAGGAACAGATTATAATGGAAGAAATTAGTAAATAGTGTGTTTTCAGTTTTAATCTATAAATACAAAAATTATACCAAACTAAGCTTTGTTGGATTGCCTCATAGGTCAACTGGTCTAATGATCCACTTTTTAATACACGAAGACTTTCACAAACTCCCATTGAAGGAGAATATAAATCAGCATTACGATATAACAAATTTCACTCTAGAGTGGAAATTGTTAGATTATATAAGTACATCTCACTGAACCTGTGCCTCTAAGGGATCGTTAAGTGTTTTCCTTGACAGGGAGACCATTTAAAATTCTGAAAACTTGAACTGACAAGCAATCACGTAAATGGGTGTAGGTCCTAAGAGACCATGTGGCCCCAGGGCAGTTATACTGAAACTCAGAAACTCATAAAGATAAATGATTTCATTGCAGATCACTCGCCTCTGCTTGAAAACAGCTCTCCACAAACAGGAATTTTTCATACGGACAGTTTTGTGCATCAGCTATTTTTGTTTTCATTTCAAGGCCATTTTGAAAGCTATTTGTATATCTGGTAAAAGCCTTGTTGTATAGAGAGTCAGTTTTATAGCCAGGGCAAGCAGTGAGAGCAGGAGAATAAGATGAGAAATACATCTTTCTTGATATCTTATTTTTCCTCTCCACAAAGCCCTTATTTATCCCGGCAGAGAGCAGTTTCATTTGATCTGTTATCTCAGACTAATAAAAATCCTTATTCTCTTTCTAACTTTTAGCTGGAAATGCGTTTTGAAAATCGCCAGCTGACCAGAACTTTACTGGATTTAAGTCTGAAAATGGAACATTTTAAAAAAGAGTATGAAATGGAAATTGCAGTAGAATCACAATGCTTGGAAACGAATGCTATGGTTCTGGAAAAGGAAATGTACACTTGAAGATCGGAACTCTGAAAATAATGCAGACAAATTCAAAACAATCCTGACAGTAGCATTATGGAGATTTTGCATGTAATTTTAGGGACAATTTGTATGCCAAAACTTAGACTTTTTGGGGAAATAAGACAAACATCCTAGAGAAGGAAGAGACAAAATAGTCTGTTGTCGAGTTTTTAAATTAGTCATTATCATTTAGGTTGACTCTTCCATGGAGGGGATAGGACTTCTGGATATGGTCACACAGACAATCTGCTTGTCCTTGGAAGTTTTTGATCTACCTTAAGTACAATGTCTGAGTACTCCCTAATGATAGAAGCTGTGGGCTTGGAAGCTTCCACAGCCACCATAAGGGATGGCTCAGGGTCAAATGAAGGAGGTTGGAAATGTCTCTGATCTGGGTAAGGAGAAACTCAGCTTTGCCTCTCTCTTGGATCCAGCTACACAAAATCCAAAGCTTTGCTATCATGTATGTCCTTGAAATGCTAGCATCCTCTTGATAATTTTACTCTAGCCTGTAAAAGAGTATCCAGTAACTTCTGTGTCTGCAGTGCAGTGAGCTTCCTGCTTATGCAGGGTCCTTATGTGGACCTAGCTCTAGGAACTGCCTCACTCAGAGGGCCAAGTGTACTTGGCATAGCTCTCTGTCCCGCCGCCTCTAATACGTGGAGTAGTCATTATGTCGCTAACTGAAGTCTTCAGAGAAGTTAATACTTCATCATCCTCTGTTTGCAAGAGAAGTTAATAAGAAATGGATGCATTGTGATTTTGTGGCATATGCAGGAAATAACACCTTGGTAAATCATGAAAAGTACACAGGAAGGGTCAAAGTGTTCTTCAGTATACTTTGCTATTATTTCTACCTTGTTATTATTTCCTGTTACTGATCTAAGTAACATTGTTTTCATTATATTATGCTTCCTTATGTTTGTTATGATCAAAGAAATGTACGATCTTGGGAATATGTTTTTTTGCAATTACAATGGGTGATTTTACCTGCCAAGTTCCTTATAGAGATGTATAAGAGACCGTCTGAAATAAAGATCAACGCTGCTGTTCCACGAGAACTTAGCCCTCTCAACCACTTGTATATAGTTTCTTTGATCCTCACCTTCCCTCTCGACCCATTCGACTATCGACCGGTTAGGCATGTGTCCTTCTTGCCTGTCAGTTCCAGTTGGGCTTTATGATGTGTAGCCCAAAGATTGGCTGGAGCGATAGCACAGTGGGTAGGGTATTTGCCTTTCACATGGCTGACCTGGCCAATACAGGTTCAATTCCTCCGCCCCTCTTGGAGAGCCTGGCAAGCTACCAAGAGTATTTTGCCTGCATGGCAAAGCCTGGCAAGCTGCCCGTGACATATTTTATATGCCAAACACAGTAACAACAAGTCTCACAATGGAGATGTTACTGGGCCTACTCGAACAAATTGGTGGGGCAGTGCTACAGTGCTACAGCCCAAAGATTGCATCTGATACAGATCTTTTGGTAAGATTTTTAGAAGTTAACATTCTTCTTGGTGAAGTACATATCTAATCTAAAAATGATTATTAGTGTACAGATAAACTTAATAAAATAGTAGTAAACTAAGTGCATAAACATTATAAAAATAAAAATTTATGTAATTGATAGACTTTTAATAGTAAAAAGGTAAAGGTAAAGGCCCTCCCGTTGATCGTCGATTTGCTCGAGCGGGCCCAGTAACGTCTCCATTGGAGACTTTGTTGTTACTGTGTCTGGCATATCGAATACTCTCGGTAGCTTGCCGGGCTCTCCGAGAGGGGTGGAGGAATCGAACTCGGGTCGGCCATGTTGGCTGCTTGTAAGGCGAACACCCTACCGCTGTGCTATCGCTTTTAATAGTACTTTTAATAGTAACAATAAAAATTAGTTTGTGAAACAAAGGAGAACGAATGGTTGTGACTTTTCCCTGAAAAAAATTGTTTCTTGGGTGCGAGGATTTGAGAAGTCTTCTGGCCCAAGGTTAGTTTGTCCTATGCAATTTTGCTTTTTGCCACAGTAAGTTAATTATACTAATACCCTGATACCCTCAATAAAACTGAGTACTGCTCTGTTCAAAGCTACATTGTCAAATAAGCAGTATCCTGATATCTTAATATGGAATTTCTTAAGATTTTGCATGAAATTTGGCTTAAACAGCCAGATTGGTTTCTTAAATTATATTTGCAAAGCATATTTTCTATTTGTCTTCTAAGTTTAAAAATTCTGAGGAAAAATTTGGTGATTTCTTTAGAATCTATTACTTGAATAAGGTTCTCTAATAAATGTTAGTAAAATAACCAATAAATGTTGGCATAGTCATTCTCAATAGGTTTTTAGGTATACCTAAAATGTGTAATATTTGTAAATTGTTTTGATTCATGTTTAAAAATTACTCAAGATTATTTACTTTATTAGCCCATTTTTTCCTTCTCTCCTTCCTTCCCTCTCTTTCCTTCCTTCTCTTTCCTTTTTTTTTGGTAGCCTAAATTTTATTATTATTATTATTTATTAGATTTTTATTAGTGAAACACCATGAGGTACAGTTGTAGATTTACAAATTTTTGTGCTTGGGTTTCAGTTATACAATGATCAATTACCCATCCTTCCACCAGTGCCCATTCTCCACCACCACTGATCCCAGTATCCCTCCCACCCCCGTCCCCTCCATCTCACCCTTCCTCTGTGGCAGGTCATTCCCCCTTGTTCTCTCTCTCCTTTTGGGTGATGTGGTTTATAAAAGAGGCATTGAGTGGCAATCATGTTCGGTCTATAGTCTACTTTCAGCATGCATCTCCCATCCTGGGGGGATCCTCCCAAAACCCTTTATTTGGTCCTCCCTTCTCTATCTGAACTGCCTTTCCCCCCATCGTGTGCAGCTGGCCTCCAAGCCATGGACTAAACCTCCTGGCTTTCTCTCTCTCTCTCTCTCTCTCTCTCTCTCTTTTTCTTTCCCTTCCTTCCTTCCTTCCTTCCTTCCTTCCTTCCTTCCTTCCTTCCTTCCTTCCTTTCTCTCGCTCTTTCTTTCTTTTCTTCTTTCCTTTCTTCCTTCTTTTCTTCCTTTTCTTCCTTTTTTTCTATCCTTCTTTATTTTGTTTTATTTTTTATATTCCATGAACTTTGTTTTCAAATGATGGAACCCAAAACCTTGTCTAGACAAATCAACATGATGCAAATAGAGGCAGGTTCTTGCATTCACAATAAATGTTTCACTTGAATCCTATTCAACAGGGCTTCCAGGGGAGTGGTGGGAGGAAGTGAGTGCATACCAACAACAATGTCCACAGCAATTACAATACGAAGGATTAGAAATAAACCGACCAAGAGAAATGCCTTAAGAGCCAACAGGTAAATCCTCTTTGTGGATTTCTCAGGAAATCACCGAAGAGGAATGAGATGGGGCTCAGCCATGGAGCTCTGGCCTTGTATATTGTGAGGCTGAGTTCCATCTCCAGCCCTGCAAGTAGTAGTAGTAGCACTGTAGCACTGTCCTCCTGTTGTTCATTGATTTGCTGAAGCAGTCACCAGTTTTGTCTCCATTGTGAGACTTGTTACCATTTTTGGCATATCAAATATGTTACCGATAGCTTGCCAGACTTTGCCTTGCTGGACTCTCCGAGAAGGGCAGAGGAATTGAACCTGGGTCTGCAGCATGCAAGGCAGACCCCTACCTGCTGTGCTATCGCTCCAGCCCAGTAGTAGTAGTAGTAGTAGTAGTAGTAGTAGTAGTAGCAATGATAATAAACTCTTAGAGATTTGAATGTACTGCCATATTATGCCCTAAATGGGAGTACTCTGCACCGATAATAATACTAGTAACAATGATAAGTGTTTGTTGAAATGCTTGGTTCCTCTAATAATAGTAGTTATCATTAGATCTTAGTTGGGAATGCTCAGCCAGTCTAGGCTGTTCCCAAAGTAACTCATTCAGTTCAAGTGGAATTCTCACAAGGGCAATTAATGAGTAAAGGGAAAGCAAGGTGACCCCTTCTCCGCCCTTCCCCCCTAACTCCCAGAAAAACAAGTACTTCCCTCAGCCCCTCAGGGATGGAGGTAACAGGTCTACAAATCCAGTAACCTCAGAACTTGTGAGTCCTCATCCACTGGGTCATCTTCCTCCTGATGTCCAATGAGGATGATGAGCAGGAGAGGTCCTGAGGGCGACCTGGGAGGATTCAAACACCATGTGAAATTAAGAACCATCTCTGACAAGGTGGCCATCACAGGTGCTGCCAGGCTGAGCTGACCTTGGCACTGGAATTGGACCCTAGGTTGGACACCCCCCCCCCCCCCGCCCCCAGACCTGGTCCTCATAAAAAGGTAAAGGCCCTCCAGTTGATCGTCGATTTGCTCGAGCGGGCCCAGTAACGTCTCCATTGGAGACTTTGTTGTTACTGTGTTTGGCATATCGAATACTCTCGGTAGCTTGCCAGGCTCTCCGAGAGGAGCAGAGGAATTGAACTCGGGTCAGCCATGTTGACCGCTTGTAAGGCGAATGCCCTACCCGCTGTGCTATCGCTCCAGCCCTCCTGGTCCTCATAGTAGAGGTAAAAATTCTCCTGGAAGTAGCTTGCAGAGGGGTCAAGTAGAAGTTCTCTGGAGAAGCTTCGAATGGTCTGAGTAGAGGCCCTTTGGAGAAGCTAGCATAGGGCCCAGGTAGATGGTCGTTGCAGAAACTTGGCTACTCTGGGTAACAGAAGCTGGGGCGAGCTAGGGTCCCAGGGTTGTGGAAAGGTGGGACCTTTGAGAACATGGGATACTTGAGGAGAGGCAGCTGTCCCCAGGTTGAGGGAGGCCAGGTCACCTGAAAGTCAGGGACCCACAAGTGCAGGGCCAGGTATGGGAGGGTCCATATACTCCACCTGGGCCTGTTTCCTGGAGAGTTTGGCCACTTTGGCCGGGTGGTTCATGAACCACACCTGTGGCTATGCTCCTGCAGGAGAAGTCCGTGGGCCTGTGCCGGGTGTTCGGATTGGGACAGATGCTCGTTCTCCCGGAGAATC